TTTTAGTAATAAAACTTTCTACAATACTAATAGTTATTTTTTTAAAATCAATTAAATCAAATAAATCTATCAAAAAGCTGTCAATACAAAATGAAAACATTATAAATTCGAATTTTCTGAACAATCTCTTACAGTATATATTCTATATTATATAGTTTCCCACATGATTCAATCAGAAAAAAGAAACGAAATTTGCCCTTATGGAAAAGAGCAATTGGCTGATGTCTGTGGCGACCCTCGCAGCCATCAAATAATAATTTGAGTTGACAGCCAGCAGTCAGCGCCATGTCAGAAATCACAATAACAAGAAGTGGAAGAAGCAGCAGCGTCTAAAGAAGCAAAAGAATAAAGCAGAGAGTGAGAAGAAGCCGAAGAACTTTGGCCTAGGGTGGACCAAATGCAAAATAGGCTTGCAGGCAGTCAGGCAGTGAGGCAGTGAGGCAGTGAGGCAGACACAAAAAACTACTTGAAACGCCAGTCAGGGGGGCGAGGGGTAGTCGAACGCGGCCACATCAGGACACTTCATGGACGCATCGGGGCCATGGTTCATTTACGTATCAAATTGGAACTTCCTCTGGGATGCCTCAGCCTACGCTGATGATGCTGCTGCTGCTGCTGCTGCTCAATGGCGACGATGATGATGATGATGATGATGTAACTCCCAAAACGCAGCTAATACGTTTTTTGTGTCACAGCGAGGCAGGTAGCGCAAATGGGCCCGGGAAAAGGCGAAGCGGAAGTGCAGCGAGAGGCAACGGCACAGATACGCATATTAATGGCACTGATTGTGCCGCGCTGATAGCTAGCGCCCGGCTACTTGAATTACATTTACATGCGCCTTGGACCTCGTCCCGGTCTCAAGTAATATGTATCTACAGATATATATCTGTATGCCATATCTGTCTATCTGTATATCTGTGTGTATTTGTCACAATTGTGCCGCCCGCACCCAAAGCCGACAAGAATCCGTCAACCCGTCCTAAGCGCATTACGACAATGAATGCTAGTAGCAGGAGAAGAAGAAGAAGAAGAAGAATGCGAATGAGACGATTCAGCATTCATTCATAAAAAATCTGAGAAGATCTTTGTGCCGTTTTTATTATGTCAGGCGGATGAGTTCGTTTACCTCGGTGTGCAAACACACACACCCACACACACACACACACACACACAGTGACAGATAAGATGCAGTTACAGATGCCGCCCGCCTTCAGCGTCCAGCCTCCAGCCTCCTCTCTCGCATATATGTAGATGCTGCTTGCGGATGAGGCTCGTAAAAATCATCATCTGGCCACTTTTTGCATAGCCGTAAATCTTTGACGGCATCAGATGGTCGACTTGGTCGCACGGGAGCCACTGCATCCATCACACATCAAAGTGGCGCCCCCACATGCGACCACATGAAACGCAGCTGTCGAACATTGTTGCCACGCTCAGCCGCCCTGCCCAAACAGAGCAGCCAATTGAGAGACAAATTGCCGGCGAGTCAAGCAGCTCACTTAATTTGAGATCATTAATCAATGCATCTATCTGTGATTAATATTCAGCCTCATTTGTGTCCCATTGCATGTCTGTCACGCATTCCTAAGTGCTCTACTACAGCAAATAACCATTTGAGCTACAGATAATATGTATCTTGTATATCCCACTTGTAATACTATTTTATGAGCTCAAAGAACATTTGACTAGATTCGGGAGAATCTGCAACTTGCATCAAGATCACAAATTGTCAAGCCTTAAGCATTCTTATAGAGTGGATATAGATATATGTATGTCCTATGAGAGTACATTTCTCTCAGTTTTTTTTAGCTCGCGCTCTCTCTTCTTGCCCTTTCTCTTTCACTGCTGATCTGTAAATGGTGAAAGAGACAGAGCAAGAAAGATAGAGGCAGAGGGAGACAAAAAGAGGTAGAGAGAGATAGAGTGATAGAGAAAGAGGGAATATGCGATAAAGCATGAGATTGACCCTCCATATGGATGGGATGCATCACAATCTTTCTCCCTCTCCCTCTGTCTCTCTTTCTCCAATCCTCACTTCTTTCTTTTTCCACCACTATCCCTTCCCCTCTATCACTCTCTCTCTCTGTCATTTGCTATTACGCACTCTCCATTGTTCTCTCTCTCTCTCGCTCTCTCTCTTCCTCTCGCTCTCTCTCTCTCTCTGTCATTCGCTCTTACGCACTCTCCATTGTTCTCTCTCTCTCCCGCTCTCTCTCTCTTTCTCTCGCTCTCTCTCTTTCTCTCGCTCTCTCTCTCTTTCTCTCGCTCTCTCTCTCTCTGTCATTTGCTCTTACGCACTCTCCATTGCTCTCTCTCTCTCTCTACAATTTCCTCGCTTTTTCTCATCATCTCTCTTTCATCTCTCCTCTTTCTCTCTCCATCCTTAATTTTTCTCTCACTGTCTCTTTCTCCCTCCTATTCTTAGTCTCTTTTTCCACAACTCTGTTTCATTCCTTTTTCTGCCATTGTCTCATTCTCTCGTAACTCTTTATATTTCCACTCTTTCTTCAGCTCTCTCTTTCTCTCACTACCCCCTCTCTCCCTCTCTCTCTTTCTCTCTCACTCTCTCACTCACACTCTTCCAAGCTTTGTCTAGCTTCCATAAAGTCTATGCTATTGTTCCATTTACCACCCGTTCCACTAGACTAGTCCATATACTTACTATAAAACATTTTCGTATTTCGAATTCACTCAAAGTTTATAGAGCGAGCGTAGAAACCAGCTAAACAAAACTTGAAATCGAATCTTTACCTTCATCTATTCCAATTCAAGGCATTTCAGCCAAAACGTGTAAATAGTTGACCAAAAAAGGTATTCAAACTGTGAATTTGGACCAAGTGGTAAATCGGGTTAAGGCGCGTCGAGTGAGGCAATCACGTAATACTAAACTAATTTCGTTACACCTGCCAAGCTTCCAGAGTCAAAGCGAATCGTGGACGTCGTCAGCAGGTGTCAGGTGTCATCGCTTACCTGCGCTGCTTGGCCATTGAAAGCCCAGCTGTTGCCAGAGATCAGCATTAGAAGGAGAGAAGCGGAGGAGGAATGAGCCATTAATAACTGCGCTAACTGCTTCATAGGTAAATGCATAATTTTTTATTGAATTTTTGACAGCGCTCATTAGTTTGTTACGGCGAGGATGGCCGGAACAAGTTGTTGCTGTTGTGTGTATGCGTGTGTGTGTGTGTGTTGGCTGTTGGCCAACTGTGAGCCGAGTGAGCGATAAAGATAAAGGTCAACATCCGCTTGCCCCACTCCGTGTGCCACGGCGCGTTGCATGTGGATTGAACGGCGATTGAACTTGTGCGCGGCTCAATGGCAATTTGTGATCATTAAAATGGTTCCGCTGGCCAAAGTTGAAGGCGCTGGCACTCAAAACGTTTACACGATGCTCTCCAGACACTAACCGAAAGTGTCATTGGGCTTAGCCCGGGCCAAGTTGGCTCAAGGGAGTTCGACAACAACAACAACAACAACAACAACAACAACAGCAGCAACGACAACATGTGGGAAATGAGCAATAAAAACGCAGCCAGGAAATCGAAAGACAATAGAATTGCGGCGACCGGGCAACGTAATTGTTGGCGTTGGTCATGGTGAACCGTAACAACGGCAACTGTCAAGCATCAGCCGGTCGGGTTGAAATGCAATTTAACTGCAGCGAGACCCCTAAGCAGCAGCAGCAACAGCAACAGCAACAACAACAACAGCAATAACAAGTGTAGCTAACACGTGCGTGGGAGCTGCGACTTCGGCCAGAGTCTAATTAAGGCTTAATGCACACACACACACACACACACATACACACGCACACAGAGGGACAACCTGCGAGCGCGTCAACAGCTGCTGCTGCTGCTGTTGCCATCTCGCTCGCTCGAACCGAGCTGCATGTGCATGTTCTTTTCTTTTTTTTTGGCATCTAAGTGTGTTTACGTAGATTTATGTAAATTAGCTGCTGGCCCTGCAGCATCCTTAGCCAGGCGCAAATGATTCCCAGAAGGCAGCAGCAGCAGCAGCAGCGGCAGCAGCAGCGGCACAGGAGCAGGAGCAGGAGGCTTGCAGCAGCAGCGGCAGCGGCAACTCTTTCGCTTTCGCCTTTGCCGCATTTCATTCACGTGAAAAGTGAATTTTATTTAATTTACATACACACAACACAAACTGAACAAAGCATAAATAAATATATACATATAGTATATATAGTGTATGTATGTGTGTGTGTGTGTGTGTGTGCATAGCTGGAAGGGAATGCGCATTGCTTTATGACATTGTTGTAAACCCTTTTAGCACACACACACACACAAAGAGACAGCGGCATGCGCAGCTCCTTTGCCTACTTCAAATAGCGGCCAGAGACGAACAGACGGACGGACGGATGGACGGACGGACGGATTGAGCCTGACCACCCTGGCCACTGTTGATTTTTCGCGGTCTAATAAAAACTGGTCATAGGCAAAAAGGTTTTGGGCCAGCCAAAGAGTTGAGGCTAGCGCAAAAGGCTTGGTCCCTGTGTGTGCATATGTGTGTGTGTGTGCGTGTGTTAAATGCTAAGAAAAATCAGTGCATTTTTCCATGGAAATCACGAAAACCTTTTGGTTTTTCACCGCCATCCGCCATATCCCAACGTCGGCCAAACCCTTTGTGCCTAACCAAAGGGTGTGAGTATTTGCATATCAATGCCGTTCGTAACACGTCACAACAGCAGCAGCAGCAGAGGCAGCGGCAGCGGCAGAGGCAGCGGCAGCGAAAGCTCCACGAATTCGTCCATAAAAATAAACTAAATGCCACAAAAGTTTATAATTCAATAATTCATATTTCATAGTACATAATGTAATATACATACATATATATACATACATATACATATACATATACATATATATGTATATAAACAATTTGTTGTTTTGAGCAATTCCATAAAATTTCATAAAATTCTACAACTATTAAAAATACATATATAAATATCTTATTTTAGTTGTTGATATATTTTAAGTAAATACTCTTAAAAAAAAAAAAAAAAAAAAAAAAATTAGCTTAGTCAACTTCAAAGTAACAGTTCTTCGTGAATTTTAAGGTAAAACAGCCTTCAGAACAATTTCCAGCAAAAGCACAAGAACTTTCAACTAGAATTCTATCAAGTTTTCTTTAAGTAAATATACAAATATGTGTATGTGTGTGAGTGTGAGTGTGTGTGTGAGTGTGTGTATGTATGCATGTAACTGTATGTGTGTGTTGTATATACATAATGGTATTCAATTTGGTATTGGCATCGAGCAACCCTCGCATGGCTGTGGCGGGGGCTGTTGGGGGGCGTGGTGGTTGTGTCTGGTGCCACTAGCCAAAAGGCAGCCGATAGCAGCGATCAGGCCACCTGGCCAGAGCCAAAGTTTAAGCAAACAAAAGCAAAAAAAATTAAAAAAAAAAAAAAATACAAAAATAATAATAATAGTAAAAAAAAGTAAAAAAAAAAATAATAATACAAAAATAAACAAAAATATATATATATATTGATAAGCTATCGGCCAATGACGCAAAGATAAAAGAAAACGCTCTATAGTTAAGTAGCAGCAAACATAGATAGAGACAGGCATATCAGAGGAGAGAGAGAGAGAGAGAGAGCAAAAATATTATTTATACATATATATATATATATTTATATATAAGATAATGATAATAGAGCGCAGCAAAGTTTATTTGAGGCATACCAAATATTTAGGGCTTTTCAAGGCGGCCCGAACTGAGAGCGAATGGCCTTTAGATGAGCAGAAGGAAACTGCATCCCATATTGTGATGTTGATGGATATTGAATGTGGATGTCGGATGTCGGATGTCGGATGTCAGATGTCGTCGGGGATGTGTACTGGGTATGCTGCATGCTGTGGATGATGCCCTGGTCTCTATCGCTCCTGTCATGGGATGATGCTCGCTTGTGCGCTATAAACAGTCAACAACTCTGAGGTAGATGCGATGCTCGCTGGCGAGCAGCGCGAACTTGGCATCGAAACTGATGCGGTCCACGGTGCGGTCACAGAACTCGACGCGATGCTGGCGCAGAAAGTAGATGAGGCCGAGCTTAATCTGCAGCATGCCAATGTGCATGCCGATGCAGTTGTGTGGCCCGGCGCCGAAGGGCAGATACGACATGGGCGTTTGCTTCGGTTTATTCTCGGCACTGAAGCGCTCCGGATCGAAGCGTTCCGGCTCCGGCCAGTACTGACAATAGAACAGGAGAACAAAGACATCGTGTTAGTGTGGTTGGTACACAGTGGTGATTGGCATGGCCAGCGTCTCACCTGCGGATCGTGGTGTATGGCCAGATTGGAGATGAACACGGGCATGCCGCGCCGGGCATAGCACTCGGCGTGCGGGCGCAGTGAGTAGAAGCGTTTCTTGTTGATCGGCGAGCATTCGCGCTCCAGCACCGGCACAATTGGATACTTGCGCAGCGTCTCCTCCACCACCATCTCCAGATACCGCATGCCGCCAATCAGCTCATAGCTCAGTCCCGGCCCGTCCCCATGGGCCGCGGCCAGGGCGAACGTGTGCCGTATCTCGCGTCGCAGCCGCTCCTGCATTAGCGGCTGCTTGGCCAGCTCGTATAGGGCGAAGGACATCGTTGAGGAGCATGTCTCGATGCCGGCCACCTCGAAGGTGGCCGCCTGGGCGGCCAGAAAGTCCTGATGGTGCGTAAAGTGCGTCTTGTCCTGCTGTAGATCGGCCTCCTTCTTGAGGGTCAGCAGCATTTCGATGAGATCATTGCGCAGATCGCCGCCTCGTTCGCGCTCCTCGATCACCAATTGGATGACGCGGCGCAGGAACTCCGAGTGCATCTCCGTGAACAGCTTCGACCGCATCAGCGGCACCAGCTTCGGCAGAAAGAATATCACAAAGAAGTCTATTATTCGACGCACATTCGGCTTGAATATGTCCTGACAATGTGAGCCGATTTCAGACTGCGTATTCCTCAGGCTATACGATCTCAATCCAAATGCGATGCTCGCTATCATATCCGTATTGTACAGATCGCACACATCCTTGATGCTAACGATGACACCGCGCGACGCTTCCCCGCGTCGCAAATCACGCGTCAAACGCTTCAAATACCACTCCAGATCGCAGCCAATCTAGATAAGAGATTAGAGTGCGGATCGTTAAAATGCGATTAGTTTGGAGTGCAGAGAGAAAGCTTATATAGGGATTCAGCACTGTGCAACAAGAAAGGAATCGAGAACAGTATCTGTGCAAACAGGGCATGTACAATATATTTAAATAATTTATATATTTATACACTCTATATATATATTATATCTCTCAACATTAGCCACCTTCAATAATGATAAGCAGATAATAAATACAAATATATTCAAGTGCATGCAATCATTTAATAATAAACATTTTGTTTTTATTGGCCTCTTTTTAACCTATGAAAAAGTCAAAATTCCATAGAACTTAACTGAAAGTGTAAAGTCTAAAAAATTAGTAGGCATGCGAAACCAGTTGTTCAATTCTCATTTATATGTCTATATTGTCAGACACTTGCGATGAACTTTGGTAACAGCTGCTCGCACGCAAAGCTTACATTAGTTTACACTAGCGAGCAATACAACGAAATTACCAGAACAAATATTAAAAAGTAAACATTGTTACAAAAAAATAAAAAATAAAAAAATATATATAAATATATAGAATAAAAAAAAAATAAATAAAAATAAAATGAATATCATATAATATTTTACTAATAAAAAAATAAATATCCGCACGCTTACACTAGTTTACACTAGCGAGCAATACAACGAAATTACCAGAAAAAAAAATCAAAATGTACATATTGTTAAAAAAAAAAATAAAATAAAAAATAAAAAAAATAGAATTAAAAAATAAAAATAAAAATAAAATGAATAGCATATAATATTTTATTATTAAAAAAAATATATATATCCGCACGCTTTACAATAGCAATACACGAAATTACAAGAAAAAAAATATAAAAAAGTAAATATTGTTACAAAAAAAAAAATAAATAAATAAATAAATAAAATTTTTAAAAATAAATAAATAAATAATTAAAATAAAAAATAAATAAAATCAATAGCAATAGCAATAGCTTACACTAGTTTACACTAGCAAACAATACAACGAAATTACCAACCAAAAATTAAAAAAAAATACATATTGTTACAAACTTAAAACTAAAAATTAAAAAAATTTAAAAAAAAATTTTTTTAATCAATTTTTAAAAATTCAATGGCATAAAGTATTTTACCTATCAAAAAATTTTTTTAAAATATATTTTTTTATAACAGAATCTGGAATATTTCCTTAGATGAACAATAGAAATAAATAAAAATAATAATAATAATAATATAAAAAATAATAATAAAAATAATAAAATAATAATAAAAATAATAAAATAATAATAATAAATAATAATAAAATGTATAAAAATACAAAAGTTAATAAATAAAGAAAAAATGCAACAAATCAGAAAAAAAAATTATAGACTAAAATTATAAAAAATAAAATAAAAAATATAAATTAATAAAAAATAAATAAATAAAAAATTAATAAATAAAAAATAAACAAATAAAAAATTATGGTGAAAAAAGAAAATAAATGAATTAAAGTAATTTTGATTATAAATTATTTATGAGATATTTTAATATGTACAACAAAAATTAATTAATTAATTATTAATTAATTTAATTAATTTTTTTTAACTTAAATATTTTATCAGTTAATTTAAATTTTTGAATTAAAAAAAAATTATTTACAGTTTACTTATAAAATAAAATACAAATAAATTTAAAAAAATAGAAAAAAAAGTATTATAGATAGATATTTTTCACATGTACAAACAAAAAAGCAAAAAATAATATAATAATATTAAAAATAATAATAAGAATAATAATAATAATAAGATATTTGACATGCCCACAGCATGCATGCGTGTGTTGTTGACTCTTCAATTGATTCATTAAAGAGAAAATCGAAATTTTGTTGCACAGTGTATTTTGATTGGCTCGCAGTTTATTGACTTACCTCCTCCATGAGTGAGAACATTTGCCTGATCTTGGCGCCGGTGAAGACCGGCGAGAGTCTAGTGCGAATTTCACGCCATTCGGGCTGCCTGGCAAAGAACAGATTGAGGGAGCCCATCTTGTCGTGGCGCATGTCACATTTGGCGAACCGATTGGAGAAGCTGACAAAGTCCTCGATTAGAACGGTGCGCACCAGCTGCAGGTCCCGTATGAGCAGTGCCGGCTGATGGAACAGGTAGATGCCCACGACGGGCTCGTTGCGGAAGCGCTCGTCAAAATAGAAGCGGCGCAGCTGCAACGGGAACGACTCCTCCAGTTTGAGCACCTTCTTCAGGTTGCCCAGCAGATGCGTTGGCTGCACAAACTTGACGCGACGTCGCTGCCAATAGACGTAGGTGCGACGCGACCAGATGAACACGGCGGTTAATATGGTCACAATGCCCAGCAGTATGTTCGTGGAGTAGACCATGGTGAGTGAGCGAGACAGTGTGCGGCCAGTGACAGTGACAGTGGCAGTGGCAAGTGAGAGGTGAGAAGTGAGAGTGTGCCGGAGACGGAGAGTGTACGGCAGCTACGGTTGGTGTTGGGCGAGTTGTTGTTCTAGCAGAGGCGCTTTGCGGCCGCCTCGAGAACTTGTGGCTTGGATGCAACTGCAATTACACTGGGGCAACCAACGGGTCCGTCGTGGCACGCTTGTGCCAAATACAAATAAATAAATACTTAACAAATTATATCACAATCAAGTTTTTGGTCTGCGCGGCGGCCACGACGGCAACGACAGAAACGGCAATAAAAACAATGCGGCGACGTCAACAACAAAAAGCTGGCAAGAAGAAGAAGAACCACTGACAGAAGTAACAGAGAAGAATATCACAAAGCATACTCAAAACGCCAGAACACATACATGCACAGTCATACAGTCACATAGACGCATACAAAATAATACATATGCACATGTATGTATGTATATACACAAGCACACAGAGTGTTGAGAATTGGCGAGAACACGAAAAAAAAACGCGCTAGCAAGCTGTACAAGCCGACGCAATGAACTGACGTGACGTCGACAACAGTGCTGGCCCAACGGGCCCCAAAAACTTAAATTGCGAACACTACGCGGCGACGTTAGCGTCGGCGTCGCCGCTCCCGATTATCAACAAAAGCAGAATACAAAGCAAAGTCAGCGATTGACAGGCCACAACAACCGCAACTGGCGTCGCAAACGCCCCCGTCATCGTGATTAACCGCAAAGTGCTCACGCTTGGCAAGGGGCAAGCTGATGAAACGGCAGCAAACAACGCCACTGAGATCTACATACGCTCTTAAAGCACAGTTCCACATAGAAATAACAACGAAAACAATTGAGTACCGGTGGTGAGAGAGAGAAAATATAAGAGAGTAAAGAATTGGCTCTCCCGTACTCGAAACATGTGCATAGGCACACTGACGCACACAGTAATTAATATATGTGCATACGTTGAAAGTGTAATTTAGATAAATAAGTTTCCTCATTTAAAACCATATGCTAGTATGCATAGTCAATTATACAGCAACTGCTAACTTTGTAAATACACCTGTGCGTGTATGTTTAAGAACTTTAAAATTTAATCCATTGCGAATCCAAGTTATATGTATATATTCTCTAAAAATATACGATAATATATGAAGAATCTTCATTGAATACAAAAGATGGACCCAATCAGTTATTTGGCAATTTAAATATTAAAATAATATTAGACACATTTAAAATGAACAATTGAAATAAATTGGTTCCACAGTGCGCAAGAGACTGGGCGCGTATGCCGACCGCAAATAAAAGTGAATATTAAAAGCGAAACAGCGATAGCGACAACAGCGAGCAACATCGATAGCAGCTACTCCACGTGACAAAGCTGTTCATGAAAACAAACTGCGCTCTCAATACTAAGCACGAACAAAGCGAACAGCAGCAGTGAGAGTAAGAGAGCCGCCTCAATATCAAAGCAGAAGCTTCTGCTGGACAAAAAGAGAGTGAGAGCGCCGCGTCTGGTTTAAAAATAACCGCATGTTCGCTTTAGCTCGCCTGATGTTCGTTCTTATTGCTGTTTGCGTTTTGTTTTCGTTTCTACTTCACCATAATAATATGTACACATATGCACATATGTGAATGCATGCATTTGTATGTGTGTTCCACTTTCGACCAGGGCGCATGCAATTACTAGGAAAGCATATGTATGTTTAGTCCAGGGCTGCGTGCAACGTTGAAAGTGCGCGCAAATTGAATCTTGGGCTTTGGTAAGCTGCAAACTAAATTCAACAAATTGCTTCTTACCACCGCTCCAACCAATTGTTGAGCAAATTGCTACAGACAGATAGCGCTTTGTCGAGAGCAGGAAAACGGAAACTCCATTTACAACAATTGACAAAAATTTGCACTTGTGTGTAAAACTTTGACGTACACTAGTTGGCCTGGCCCACTACGTCTATACACTAGCCAAACTATCTGCATAGAGACTATGTTAGTTAGTTCGCCAGATTTACATATGTATGTATGCTTGGTTATTTTTGAACTCAAATATTCACACGTACATACATACACACGTTTAGTGTGATATATAAATATATTTAATTGTTCATTGATTTTCAGTCTATTAAATCATTGAGCGTGGCAATCTGCTAATAAAAGTCTTTAAAGGGTGTGCAAAATTCGTTACGCGTGTTATCCTAAAACGAAAGCAAAAAAAGAAAAAAAGAAACCGTTTTCTTTCCTTTTATCTTGTTGCCCATTTTGTGTAGAGGCAACACCCAAAGCAAGTTACAGTTACAAATGTGCAACATTTCCGGTTGCTTCAGTTTGGGATACCGAAATCTGTTGGCCACACTGATGGGCTGCGAGCGGGTTATAGAAGGAGGCAAAGGCAAAGGCTGAGGCTGTGGCAGAGACAGAGGCAGAGGCAGGCGCTCGCTTTGCTTTGATTAAATTTCACGCACGACCGCATGGCAAGGGGTTGGGCGGGTTGGTTTGGTCTATGGAATCGAAATTGGAATTGGGAAGACACACAAGCATGCACACACACACACACACACACACACACACACACACACACACACACACACACACACGTACGCTAAAGCGCACTGCAGTTCGATTTGCATTTGTCTTGTTCGCGCAAAATGTTTGCTCTTCAGCTGGAGAGTTCACCTTCGACATCTGTCTCTCTCCCTCCCTCTCTATCTCTCTTCCCCATCATCATCTTACCCTCCTCCAAGCGTCGCGTAGCCGGTGATGTGTCAATAATCGGCGTTGCTTATGCATACAACGGCTCTACAAACACGCGCGCACTTGTCGTGGTTGGAAGGGTTTGGGTCGAACGGTGGATGGGGGGATGGGATGGGATGGGTGGTGTGGGGTGGGTGGTATGCGTACATGATGGCATCAAATTCAGTTGAGCCCCGTTCAGCTCGGCTCAGCTCAGCTCTCGTGGCACAAATCAAAGCCGTCTCAATAAACAAACATTGTGCGCATTTCATGCCCAGCCCACTTCCCACTCCCATTCCCATTCCCATTCCCATTCCCATCCCATTCCGCGCTTTGGCAACCGCCTTGTGCCATTTAGTTTTGGTCTGCGACTATGTTTTGATTCCATTTACATTGTTGACACTAGAAATCTTTTAATTATTGTCACGCATTGTGCTCGCACCCGGAACACGCAGCCAAAGCAAATAACAACTGAAGCTGCTCCTTGCGCCACTCCCACTCCCACTCCCACTCCCATCGTGCCTTAGCTTAGCTCTCGCTCTACTGCAGTAGTTTTTCTCTGCGCTATGTTGACATTTCGGTTTTCGTGTGGGAGCTGCGCCAGGTGGGAAATGTTTGTACACCCACACGCCCTGACGCCCTTCTAAGTGCTTTTTCACCGTGTAATGAGGGGGGTGTGGCAGCCTGAGTGTACGTACGCAAGTAGTTGCAATTATTTAATGTGCTTCCCAGAATTAATCGGAAGATATTCGGCCAAAGCGCAGCTGCATTAGATGGGATTTTGCAGAGATATACGAAAGAGCTATTAGATGATTAAGGAGATGAATTACTTTTAAGTTTATTTAGTTAGATTTTAATTATGGATTGTTTGTTGGTAATTGAAGGGATTGCAAGATGCTTTGCCGAGAAAATAGAGAAAATTAATATTATAGAGAAAATTAATATTGTTTTTATGAAATATTTTTTATTATTATTTAGATCTAAGTATTGTCAAAAAGCTCTTTATAGAATAACAAAAAAAAAAAAAAAAAAAAAAATTACAAAAAAAAAAAAAAAAATAAAATAAAATAAATAAATAAAATAAAATAAAAAATAAATAAAAATAAAAATTGAAAAAATAAAACATATTCTGATATCCTATATTCAATAAGTTTAGGGTACAAAAAAATACTGAAAAAAATAACTAAAGCTATAGACAAAAAGACAAAAGGATAATATATAATTTGCTTCTATATAGAAGAACCATTCCATAAGATATGTATATGAGTATGAATGTATCCTTATATGACTAAAGCTATTGTAAACAGATATATCCTAGATGGGAATCTCAAAATATATACACGTATTACGGATATGGACTCTATGGTCATTTATACTTATTAAACAAAAGCTATTATAAAGAGATATACCCTAGATCCATACCTTAAAGAATATACGATTTTAACCTTATTAAACTAAAACTGTTATAAACAAATATACCCCAGATTGATAACCTAGCAAGTATACAAAGTACAAATATTTGAGATCAAGCTAAACAGTTTAGTAAATTTGGGTCTCCTTATCGGCTTTATCGCTAAGAGTTCTTTATTATGGTACCATGAACATTGCACATATCATATAATACATATGAGGATCTGCACCTGCAACAACTGGACACGCAACGTGCCACACATGAAATGCGGAAAAGCGGAAAAGCAGAAAAACAGTTCACAGTCCAGCCGAAATCTATCCAAAGTAGCTAACAATGGAAATGATTCCATATCTCTATATCAGGCAGATTGAGATGCCGATGGAGATGGAGATGCTTTGAGATGCGATGTCGGTGCTCCGTAGATAAAGTGCGCAAAATAGCTGCGTAATTTGACGTTAATGTTACGCTAATAATAATCTGTCAGCTCGCATTAGGCAAGGTAAACAACAAGGCAACACACACACACACACACACACACACACATGCGCTCGATTCTAAAGATTTGTTGATTCTTCTTTGCTCGTTTTCCTTTGGCATTTACCTAGGGAGCAGCTGATCCTTATCTAATGCGCATGTGAGCATGTGCATGCGTGTGTGCATGCGTGTGTGCATGTGTGTGTGTGTGTGTGTGTTTAGCTCCGATTACAATCAAAATGCGAATGAGTTTGCGAATGCAATACGTAATGTGCTTAGAGAGAGGGAGAGGGAGAGGCAGAGGGAGGGGGAAAGGGACAGGAAGGGAGAGGCGACGTAACATGCTTAGGAGAATGCCGACGTCGTCCTTGCTGGGTCCTTGGTCCGATAGTGTCTTGGGTGCATTGTCGATGTGTTTGCCATTTTGACGGGTCTCGATTACGCTTGCAGTTGCCCTCTCGCTCTCGCTCTTGCTCTGACTCTCTCTCTCTCTCTCTCTCTCACTGTCTCCTTTGTAAGGATGCTGCTCTGTCATGTGTGTAATCCACTCTGCTCGTTGCTCAAAGTTAAATGATGCGCGCCTAAGTTGCGCACAAAGAGCGAGACCAAAGAGGCCGAGTTCCATTTATTTATTTTCCTTCTATATATATATATATATATATTTTTTTTTAGACACGCCTCGACGGCTGATGAAAGCAAATTGCATGAACAAATAGAACTGGGCCAAAAAATGCATTGCAATTAATTGTAGTTAGCTGTGTGTGTGTGCAGTCCCAGTGGGCCTAGCCAAGTCAAGGCCTGTACCGGACCGTTCCCTGGACTCCCCCGGGAAATGGCATGTAAATTTTCATTTGGACCAATGCGGCTACCAGCCTTTGCTTCTGCCTCAGGCTTTGGCTTTGCCTCTGGCCATAAAGTCAAAGTCCAACAAACGCAAAGTCAAAACGCAGCAAAAGTGTTTTTCCTCTTTCTCTGAAAAAAAAGAAAAACATACAAACAAATTGACAAAAAAAATGGGAACTGAAAACCTTCCAGGAAATGCAGAAAAAAGAGCTAAAAAATAAATGAAAAGCCATCAATAGGACAAGCTCTGCTCTGAAAACCTAGAAATCTAAATAGAGTTCAGTTTCAGTTTCGTTTTCCTGTTCGTGTCGTGTTTTTCGGGAAAGGCAAATAACTGTAAAGAAGTTAACCCGGCATAAAATGCATTTTTCTGCGTATTAGTGCTAGGTATAGACGCGCCTTTAACCCGTTGCTGCCGCACAATTGTTGCAAATTCCTTGTTTCGAAGGGGTTAAAAAAGCGAGGCAGAAAAAAAAAGAAAAAACTGATGCACCCTTTTTTTTTTTTTTAGCTGTCTTCTTTTTTTTCGCTGCTTTTTTAACGCTCGTAAAACAATCAAGTCATAAACCTCGTAGCGACATAAATTAGAAGATGTGGAACAGTC